CCCTCTCCAAGAACCGGTCCCTCCTCACAACATATCCAAAGTATGTTAGATGGAGCCTCAGAATCCTTGCCTCCAAGGAACAGCCCGGTTTAACCCTCTCTAGGATGAATCTGTTTCCTTAGCTGTCCATGGTACCCTCAATACTCTTCTACAGCACCACAGCTCAAAGGCATCAATTCTCCTTCTATCCTCCCTAGTCATTGTCCAACTCTCTGAGGTATAACAAGTGATTGCAAAGACCATGGCCTGTATCAGACACACCTTAGTCTTCAGAGAGACACCATTGCTCTTCAGTACTTTGGATAGGTCCCTAACAGCAGACTTTCCTATCGCAATATGTCTTTTAATTTCCTGACTGAAGGTGTCCAGAGTGTTGACTGTGGAGCCAAGCAAACTAAAGCTGTTATCAATCTCAATCTTTCACCATCCATGCTGATGCTGCCAATTGGTCCAGAGGAATTGGATTTAGAGGTGTTTTCAAAGAAGGCTCTGTGACTCTGAGGACATTAAAGAATGAAAAATAAGAGAAAAATACTGAAAAAGCCCTTACTTATGCAGTCAGTGGGCTCCAAAACTCAAAGTGTAGAGTTCACAAAAACCGACTCTGAAGGTAAAATGAAAGTTAAGGAGTACTGAAATAATGAAGAACATTATTTGCCTATGATGACTCTAACAAAGATGAACTTGGTTTTAAAGAAGAGAGGTAATCCATTTGGTAAGTAAGGAGAATCTGGCTGGTAGAAGGGCAAAAAAATATTTTTCAGTAAAAACTGATGGAAAAGAGGGAACATCAGCTCTAGAATAAAAACCTAAACCAGCTGCTCCACAAGTCCCACCCAAGAAACCTACTCCACCCACCAATCAATCCAATAATTTATTACAATCTCCTGCAATAGTACCCCCAAAGCAATCTGAAAAACCAGTTCCTCCACCACCTCCTATAGCCAAGGTGAATGGTGAGGTTTCTACCACTTCATCAAATATCTGAAGCTAAGCCAGTATCAAAACCAAAGCTAGGTTCTGATCATCTACCACTTAGACCAAAATCAGTAAAACTATACTCCTTTGTAACAAGCAGTGTGAAAGAAACAGATCTTGTAAATTTTAATGATTTAACACCCTCAGAAAACTTACTTCATCTCACTGCAAATAGACCTAAGATGCCTGGGTGAAGGTTGCCTGGCCACTTCAATGGTGGACTTTCTCCAACTCAAAGCCAAGAAAAAGTTTTGAAGATATCAAAAGAGGAAGAAGATAGTGTCAATTTAAAGCAGTCTGACTTTAGGATACATGTCACTCTCCAAAGCTGTCTCAGCTATTTGTGCCCCCTCCAGCAGCTATAAAAGCTGCTTCTAAGCCTGACTCCATTAGAAATCAGAGCTAAAATAACAAGATGGGGCGGGGGGGGGGCGGTAATCCCGTGAATGAAATTAAAGCACAGATTAATGAACTGCTGTACCTTGAAGAAGAATTGAAAAAAGGATCATGGGAAAGAACTAGAAAAAACTGCTAAAAGATTTGGAAGAAGAGAGTGCAATGAGGAGCAATCTAGGGGTGGAAATAGAAAAGCTGAAAAAAGCAGTCTGGTCTTCTTGGTGTAGTCTGAATCCAGTGTTCATATTGTTCCAGGGATTTAGAAGCAACACTATTATTATAAGCTGCAACCGATTTGTCACTTAAAAATTACAAATGTTGTGATAAAGGAAGCTGAACCTATAATATCTGTAGTAAAGTAGGGGCATTGTGACCCTCTGAACAACAACCTTGAACACTGTCCCTTCCTGTGCCATGCCAGCATCACTGACACATTAGAGCCCATAGCTGTAGCCACTGTGTCATTCCTTCTGATTGTGGGCCTTCCTCTCTTTTGTTGTCCTTCCATGTTTCCATACTTGATGTCCCTTTCCAAGGAACAACCTTTTCTAACATGTCCATCAGTGCTAGACTTGTGCATATTAGGCACAATTATTTGAGTGGATATTCTCTGTAGCTCTGTCTCCTATTTTCCTTGTCATATTTATGCAAAATTTGAACTCTACCTTTGGGGAAAAAACATCAGTGACTACATTTTTGAAAGTCCATTATTAATTACATTTTCCAAACTCCCTTACAAATGCTTTTATTGCAGAATTGCTTTTCAGTGATGTACTCCTCTTCTTATCAGATCGACTACATCTGTGGAAGAAACCACTGGAGAAGCTCAATATCAGCTGTGAAAACTAGGCCGGGGGCTGATTGTGGAACAGACCACCAATTACTC